AAGAGTTGTAGCTTTTTGGTCTGAGAAGGTCAGTGAAATGCCCTCAGGATTTATCCTGAGATCCTGTACCTCAGATTGTAGAACCTTTGTCAGAAACCACTGTCTTTTAAAGGGTAGATGGCAGTCTCTTCTAAATCTGTGAATAGCCTTATCTTTATGTTTGTAGAATTTACTCTCAGTTATTTTTTCTTTGTTAATCACTTTTTTTCATTGTACACTTTGCTAGTGGGTAAACAGCCTTTCTTGAATTCCATACTTCCCTCCTCAGAGAAAATAAGACTTCTGATCTGCCATCATACCATTGTTAATTTCTCTCAACCGTTTCACAGACTCTTTTGCTTGGTATTTGACCCCCTACAGTTGTAGCAGTTATAAGTTGTTTTTTGTTGAAAAATAAAAAATACAAAAGATATAGCCATTCTTGTTTTGATTGTTTAACCACTTGACTTACAGAAAGGCTCTAAAGCAGGAAAGGCCAGGCTTCTTGTGGAGCCACAGGCATCTGATAATCTCTGCCAGCTAGTAATACACAGCAGCCTACAAATCCAGCTTGCTGCAATCCAACGTGTTGGCCCACTTTTGTAAATAAACTTCTTTTGGAACATGGCCATTTCTGTATATTTACTTACTGCCCTTGACTACTTTGGAACATACATCCACAGGCCTAAAACATTCACTGTCTGGCCCTTTAAGAAAATACTTGCTTACCCTTGGTTGTACAGGCAGGAGCAGTCACTGGGCATTCCTTATCCTCATCTATTGTTTCTATCTCTCTTTGATCAGTTGGAGTCTTTATGAGACATTTTCTTCAGTTGATAAAATTAAACTTCCTTCTTACCCCTTAAATATAAGTAATACTGTTTTTCTTCCACAAAGTTCAGTTAATCTGTTGAGTTGATATCCCTAGAGATATGTGTATGGTGTATAATTTTCCCGTTTTCCTGCTATTCTTTTGCTATAGCAATGTGTTTCCTTAACACACTGGACCATCTGCAATTCATTGCAAGTTTTTATGAGCTCTTAATTATAAAATTGGCTTTTAGAGAAAAAAATATGAAGCCAAGTGGATAGAAGTTGTAGCTTTTTTTGTAGTAGAAAGTGATAGGACAGAATTTCTGTTTCTAAGTCATGGAGCCAGTGATAATCTGTGTACACAGAGCTAGCCTTCTTGACCCTCCCCACTCTCGGAAGTCATCACTTGTTTAGATCTGTCATTCATTCCTGCAGTGTTTAAGTACCAGCTGTATGATAGGTGTTTAAGTGCTAGGAATACAGTAAATAAAAGTGAAGATTAATAAGATCTATGGTTTATGGGGTAACAAATTATGGAAAATGTCAGGTGGCATAAACAGAAAGGATAGAGGAAGACTAGATAAGCGTGGGTCATAGTGCTGTTTTATATATGTTGGTTTTTGTGCAGAGATCTCAAGGAAGTGAGTAAGCCAGATAAATTTTTGAAGAAGGAGTATTCTGGTACAGGGAAAAGCATTCACCAAGATTCCTAAACTTTATAGTAGTGTGCTTGGCATGTTCCAGAAACAGAAGGGTAGCTTACTGTCCAGGATAGAGGGAACAACTAGGATAGGAGAAAAGCAGGTCAATGACATGGCAGTTACAGGATGTGCAGCTTGCAGTCCATAGTGAAGACCGCAGATTTTATTCTCAGGAAGAGGGAAAACCATAAAGAAGTGGGCAGACTTACTTGAGAAGGGTGATACTGTCTGCTACATGGAGCACAGCTACGTGGGAGCAAGAGTATAACTGCTCTTTTGGTGAAAGGAGTATAATAATCAAGGATTATCTCAAGAGTTTAGATTTTAGCCTAAGACACTAGTGCTGTGGAGTTGCCATTGCTGAAGTGGGAACGCTGGAGCACAAGCACATTCCGGGGGATTTAACAAACAATTCAGGGCACCTTAAACTTGGGATTCAAGGGAAGATGGTGAATCTGCAGTGGCTGTAGTTTGGGGAAAATGTTGGTAGTGGAAATCTTAATTTGAAGATTGTCAGCAGATAGATGGTTTTTAAAGTCACAAAACTACATGAGGTTACTGTGGAAGCAGCACATGTAGGACCAAGCCATGAGGCCTTCTGCAATTTAGAAATCATGGAGCTGAGAAGCCAACAAAATAGTTGAGAAAGAGTAGACAGTGAAATAGAAGAGCAATCAAGAAAACATCCCAAAGACCTAGTAAAGGATTTCTTTGAAGAAAGAAGTAGTAATAAATAGTTTATACTGCAGAGAAGACATGAATATAGAAACTGGTCATTGTGTTTAGCTATTGATATATTATAAGCAGCCTCTGCTTCACAGAGTCAAGATGAGTTTCTGTGGAGATTTTTAAGCACCTTTATGGCTTTGAGAGAGGGAAATGTGTAGATCATGAATGTGTGTCAGTTTTGTAAAGAATTTTGTTCCAGAAAGCTGAGAGTTGGGTGGTGGCTGGAAGAGAACATGGGGGTTTTTAATTTGTTTATTGTTATTAAAATTAAAATTTAAGAAAATTAAATTAAAAATGTTGTTGTGAATGATCTAAAGAAACCGTGTAGTTACAAAAAAGAGCATGGCTTCTGTCAAGAAAACAGCCAATAGTAAGTATTGACAAGGATGTGGAAAAATTGGAACACCTGTGTACTATTGATGGAAGTGTAAAATGGTGAAACTACTCAGACGACTGTGTTCAAATACCTCAAAAAAAAAAAAAAAAACAGGGCTGGGGGTGGCTCAGTGATAGAGCTCTTACCTGGCATGCACAGAGCCCTGAGTTTGCTTTCTGCCACTGTGGGAAAAAAAAAAAAAAAAAAAGGAAACAAAACATAAAAGCCAGTGAAAAAAATAACTACCATATGATAAAACAGTTCCATCTCTAGGTGTACTGTATCCCCAAAACAGCTGAAAGCAAAGTCTTGACAAGATTTTTGCACATTTATATTCATAGCAGCACTATTCACAATGGTTAAGAGATAGAACCAACCCAGAGATCTATGAATGGATAAATAGGGTGTGGTGTATACATGCAATGAAATATTGAGCCTTTCGAAAGGAAGGAAATCCTCACTTATACTACAGTGTGAATATACCTTGAAGACATTATGCTTAAGTGAAATAAACTAGTGATTTTTTTTTTAAAAAGTAAAACTTCACTTACATGTGGTACTCAGAGTAGCCATATTCATAGAAACAAAGTAGAATGCTTTGCTACTGGAGGCTGAGGGAATATAGAA